CTAGTTACTTCGACGAATTCACGAAGGCCATTTTGGAGTAAATAAATTCAAATCTCGAGCGCATATTACTGTTCTAGCCGGGTACTAATACGGACATTGGAGCACTCATTAGAAGATGCCCAGCTTGTCAGAAGTATGTGCATTGGCATCAAAGTGAACCGCTAGTGAACGGCGCAGTGCCGGAACATGCATGGTACCATGTAGGGGTCGATATATTCACTGGGCCAGAAAATCGCACCTGTGCGTTTTCGATGCGTTATCCAACTTTGAGTTTGAGTTCATTCAACCACGTGACAAGTACACGAAAATACACTGTATACGTGGTTTGGTGCGAAGGGAAAAAAATTGCCCGCAGCTTCCCTCGGGGGAACACTGAGGAGGATGCGGAGCGTAACTCACGCTAGCCGAGGGAACTCGACCAGCAATCAACGACTGCTTGCACGTAGCACACACGACGTAGTCGGCATAGTCGGTGCCCTTTCCAAACGTATCGCAAAGAACCGACAACGCTTTGAAGTTGTTCTGAATGTTGCCGATCCGAGTTAATTTGTTATCGAACCAAAGACGATCACACACCTTGCAGGTGTGGCCGAAGCTTCGGTCGAGGAAGTCGCGCTTGAAGCGAGCGTTGGGCGTGGCATACTGCTTGGCGCGCCACACCGCTACCTCGGCACGCTTGCGCTCGCGGGCAGCATCGAGATCGGCCTCTCGTCGCCGACGCTTGCACTCGGCTTCCCGTTTTCGAAAGTCCGGGTCCTCTTGTCGACGCTTACGTTTCAAAGCGGCCGAATCCGGTGCTGCTGCTCGACGCTGACGTCTCTCAGCGGCTTCACGTTCTCTAAGTTGAGCATCTTCCGCTCGACGCCGACGTTTACGTTCGGCGTCGCGAGCTCTTCTCCGCGCTGCCTTGTCTTCGGACGACGACTTGGTTGCGGTTCCGCGAACACTTTGGCCGGCGCTGGTCGAAGGGACGTCGATCATTGCGACCTCGGACGTGGACGCGCCGTACAAACCAACCGACGAGCGGCAACTGAGCGAGCGAGCACCGACCTTGAGTATTTATACAGCGCGACAGCGCATGCACTGTCAGCTGTCGAATGTTCGAGAAGGGGGAGAAGCGCAACGGCGCATGCGCGCGCGTCAGCTGCCGATGTTCTCGAAGCGCGACGGCGCATGCGCGCGCGTCAGCTGCCGGCACGCGGTGTGTAGAGGAGGAAGGGTGGACAGATGGTAGAAGAGTGAAGCGCGCGCGGTGTGTAGAGGAGAAAGGGATGCACAGATGGTGGAAAAAGGAGGAGGAAGCTTGCGGACGGCGCCGCACTACAAGCCTCGAGTATTAGATGCTCCGCATCTAAAAAAGCTACATTTCACAGCTTGACTGGCCCCCCACCCAGAAAAATCTAAACTACAAATTTACAAAAATTACAAAAATTTCCCGAAGTGGAGCTTCTACGTGGCACAAAAACAGCCACAGTTGTGACAAAGCTCAGTGCAATCTTTGCACGATATGAGAGAGATAGAGTAAAATTAGGGAAATGCAGGGAGGTAAGTCATAAATTTGAGCCTTCGGTTTGCTACCTTTCACTACGAGAAGGGGAATGGGGAAGAAAGAAGAGAAAGCAAAGAACAAGATAGACACGCGAAAAAGAAAAAGTGAGCAGAGATGCTATATTATATTCAATGGGCCAGTGCTACGCAAAATGTTCAATAAGGCCTTCAGTAATACTCTGCGAGAAGACAGATCCAATCAGCTTTCAAGCACTGACTGCTCTGATAAAGACCTGTCGTGAAGGCGAGCTAGCGCAACAGCTAGCGGGCGTTTTTGCACGCTGTAGCTCGGGCAGTCACAAAAAAGTTGCTCTATCATTTTGTCGCTGCCACAATAATCGCTAGCAGCACTGTCTTCTATGCCGATCCGAAAGGCGAGAACTCTGGTGAAAGCAACACCAAGCCACAGTCTGCAAAACACTGTTTTATCAAGTCACGAGTAGAAGTCGACGAGACGCGGCCAACCTATGCAGTCGCGTCTGTCGTAAGTACTCAGTGTTCCACAGGAATTTTGCTTGTTTACTTCATCAGCAATTTTTCGGATTTTTATAGCAGCATTAGATCTTGGGAATGGAATAGATTCTTTTTCACCATCTTCGTGTGCTGATCGAGTAGCTGCATCGGCTTGTTCGTGATCCAACATGCTGCAGTGACTTGGAAGCCACTGAAACGTCATTTGGTGTCCTTCATCGAAGAGGTGGTCCAGCAGCTTTTTGATTTTCGGCCCAAGTTATTCATATGGTTCCCGGGGCAAGTAGAGTGCCAAATACTGTAGGGCTGCCTTGGAGTCTGTGAACACGCTGAATTGCTCGACTTGTTGGTGATTATTGACTTTAACTGCACTACGTAAAGCAGCAGGTTCCGCAGCTGTCGATGTCGTCTGGTGTTATAGCCAAATCTTCATCGTTGTCACTGTTTCAGAAAAGATCATGGACCCTGCAGACCCATCCACTGTATTTGAAGCGTCAGCATATAGATGGTAATACATGTTGAAGTGTGCAGAGATATTGGTCCGCAGTTCGCGAGCCATGAACTTGCATCGTTTGCAAAAAAGTACGACTTTGAATGCATTACGTCAAACCCGTGGTTCTCTCGATCAAACGACCTCGCGAAGAAGGGCTTTGAAATTGCAAAAAAAATTTATAACAAAGATGTTGGAAATAAAAGATGACTTGTGGCTTGAATTACTCGCTTACAGGACTAGTCCGGTAGGACACGGTAAGTCCCCTAGAGAGTTACTTCAAAGGCGATCACTTCGGACAACTCTTCCAGATTTCAACGAAGCTCCAAGACAGTTGAGAAAGAAGCATGAACAGTACTGGCCCCCAAAACGTAGTCTTGCTGCAATATGGAGAGGCTAGGTTTTCAGGATACCAGGAGACCAGTGGGCACAGAAAGCAAAGCAATGCAGCTGATCACCCCAGGTCATTCCACGTCGCCACCGAAGACGGCAGTGTTTTGCACCGCAACCGACAAACTTTAGAACTACGGCTGAATCTTTCAGCATTTTTCCTAGTGTTGACGACGTTTCCTATCACATCCACGAGGACGGCTACACTGACCCAGCCCAACCTAACAATGAAAACGCACCCGACGTGGCACGATGAACCAGAGAACCAAGAATAACTCGGCGCTGAAAAAGGCAACCACCGTGGTTGAGATGTGTCGGCAACTTTGTGCAAGATCCGTGAATTCAAACCCTTCGGAAGTGAATTGGTGTTGTGTTATTTTTAGGGGACTGGCTTTTCGTCAAAACATTACAGTGATTTAGTTTTTATTCCAAAAGAGGAAGATGTATCAGGTGCATAAGCTGAAGTGATTTGTGCCTGCAAGCGTCATCATTGGCGCATGCTCACCACTAGTGTGCCTTTCCTCAAAACGGGTATAAAACGTATGCGAATAAAGACTGGGGTGCTTTTTCTTGTTTGCTGTGAACTGTTAATGCTTGTCACTCAGACGGTACGGCAACCGATACAAGGTTGCACCGTCGTTCGGTATAGGCAGGCCTTGGTGCACTGTAATTTGAGGCTGAAGTTGCTCGATGTGACAAGAGAAAAGGAAGAACATCGCTGCTGCGTTGTTTTCGTTCTCAGAGACTGATGTGTTGTTGTCAGCTGCTTGCTCGTCTGTGAGGAGTCCCTTCAGTTGTTCGTTGAGCACAATTAGTACGTCATGACAGTTCTTTATTCTGTCGTGCAGAACTCGAAGCGCCGGGGCGCTATTCTGGCTCGGTTCAATTAGTTGGTTTGCTTCGTTTCGGAGACGCGTGCGCAAAGCTCCTTGGGTATCTCATTCGCCTTTCATAATACCCGTCTTCGTTGCTGTGTGAGCCGTTTCCTTGTCGGGTTCCTTAGATTACAAAGTTCCCGGGCATCTCGTCAGCATAAAATGTAGAAGAATGAAAGCTTCCTGAGATAAAAGATGTACGATTGGGCTGCCTAATTACCCCGAGCACCGTTAAAACGTGTCAATTGCTAACCATTCCAAATCACCCAAAAGCAAACCACGAGCGGCTCTCCCACCGCGTTAGCTCCATCATCGTCGTTGCCTTTTAATATTTACCAGTTGACAAGCGTCCGCTCATATAGAAACATTTGCTGACCAATTCGGCTAACTGCTGCCCCCCCCCCCCTCATTTATGTTCATAACTGTCCCGACGCTTTCGGAAATTATTTTAATGCTTGTGGCTTGCTGAACGAGGTGAGTTTGAAACCCCTGCGGTACGTTATTGAACAGGCTGTTAGGAATGCGATCAAATTGCTGCATATTGCAACGCGTGATGTGGAATGTGACGTTACACAATTGTTTTGCTGGAACAGTCAAAAATCAGTCGTTGAACGCATGTAGAGAACCACCGTAGAGTACAGATACGGCGCACACTCTACGTTTCAGCCTACTGGATGAAATGAATAAAAACTTTGTATTGCATTGGATCGTGCCTGAAAAAATTCTTATCTAGGGTTCCCGAGGTTATTTGGAAATAATAGTGCAAGGAAGTCTTAATGTTGCTATAAGTCCTAATGTTGCTATATACTATTAGGAAACCTTAAGACTGAGTAGGTGACCATGTTGTTCCACAAGTGATTGTCAGCTGTATTCTTGAGCAAAGATGCTGAGGAAAGGCTCATAAAGCTCAGGCAATCACCAGCTTTTTTGATTAGGACATTCCAAATATGATGCCAGATTTTTTCACAGTTAGTAAAATCGTGGGGTCTGCAAAATGCCGGCGCAGCTCCAGAACAGATTTTTCTCCGGGCTATTTGGTGAAAATTCATCATAGCTCAGTGCACGCTCAGAGACCCGGACAAATAAGAGACACAGAGAAACAAACGCTTGTCTTCGTCTGTCCCTTCTTCTTCCGTGTCTCCGAGCCCACTTTGAGTTATTGTTCAAGAACCGAGCTGTGTACACCTAAGAACTGAATAAATGTTTTTTCTCAATCGACCTTTCAGATTGGATATACCATACCCGTCGATCAAATGGAGATTGCGAAGAAAACAATCGTAAGTTATGTTTCTGCATGTTTCTCAGCACTCGTGTCATAAAGTAAAGGCCGTTTGGTGCAATGCTCAAAAAAGAAAGCCTTCAGCCTAGGAGTAGTCAAATACCGGATAAGTAATTGTGTTCGCTAGATATTCTGATGCATCTGATTGCATAGGTTTCCGGGCTGACTTCTAAAACTCTCAGCTATTTTATAGGTTAATTTAGGCGCGTGTTTTACAGCGAAAGCAGTTATAAGATAAAAAAAACGGGTCGCGTGCGCGCCGTAGTTATCCACCGCCGGTTTTCATCACTATCGCATAAAATAAGAAAAAAGACCCTGTAAATAGAAAAAAAATAAAATGGCATTCAAAACACCAGTTCCCTGCTTGCCAGCTCAGTATTCTACCATTGAGCCCCACTGCTGGCTTTTTTTTAATTCATGAAATCATCACAAGTATTTGTGAACTACGCACAACATACTTCATCAGAAGTCAGGCAAACGCACACAAGCTTCCAGAAGGGGAACCCACTCCCGAACGGGGCCAAAATTATCAACAACACTGTCCACTTGAGCAACTGCTTCTCGAAATATAGACCTCGTGGACCGTGGTGGCTCGGCGTGTCTATCAATCATGCGAATTTTCTATAGTGAATAGAGTGCCAACAACATAAACAGGTCAGATGGAGTACTATCGATCAGGCTTTTTTTAAGGGAGGACCCTTATTCCTAAGCTCTGATTGAAAGTTATTTTCTAATTGTTCTTTTTAGAATGTCCCAAAAAAGGCGTCACAACAATGAATGGAACAATACTCTATCCTTTAATTTTGGTGGCAGAGTCTGCAATTTCCTGTCTGGGACAGATATAATATTTTACATTCAGCCATGTTTTCACTGGCAGAGAGAATGTATGCAGTTTAAATAAATAAAATATTTTCTGTGAAGGAGATATCCAGTTTATACGTAGATAAATAATACATTGTGACAATACAGAAGCGAATATGGCATTCCATAAACAGGTTCAGGGAAAAGGTTATTCACAAGTGCAGTAGTTCTGTCAATACTTTGTTCTGTCAATATTTACAAATACTCCGCCGATGCTTCGATCTCCTTTGCAACCTGGGCTAATAGGCTGGCTTAATGCCAGGAAATTATTGCGTTAGTATGAATATAAAAAGGATTAAGAACAGCAAAGGAACAACCAGGTGTCACCTAATGCGAATTGTGCTACGAGTGTGTTGTGATGATGATGATGATGATGATGATGATGATGATGATGATGATGATGAAGCTCCTTGGATCATTGTCACCTACCCACTCTGGAGGATCGGCCATGAGGCAGGCGGATCATACATGCTGAACTTATAATTAATATTTAGTAAGAGCTAAAATAATTCTGAGATGGTTTTTAATGTAACGTTTATTATGAATTATTGTAATTTAAGTCGCACTGTTATGTTTAATATTCCAGAGACTGAAGATCTTTTGACTTTAAATGCTGAATAAAGAATTGTTAGTAGTTGATACACCTACCAAATTTATTCAAGTCACATATAAACTTTTCGACAGCTTTGAAAATATTCCTGTCCGAGTGTGATGTCCCAACCCGCTACAGAAGCTTTATTATCTACATATATTACCTATAGGGTAATAGATGTAGGGAATGTAGGGAATTGGGGTGGTTACAAAAGCTTCTTGCATAATTCTTCATCGTCGTCAGCCACAAAACAAAAAATGCAAAAAGCGCCTTGCAAGTGGGAAGCGGCTACCACGCTTCTGCGAATAATGACGGAAAATGGCGCAGTGAATGCCTGTCTACTACACAATTATTACTGGCGTAGTGCCTACCCTGCGAGTGTGCTTGCAGCAGCTGCCCAAAAAGTGTAAGAAAAAATGCTATCAAAGACCGCTCTTCCGGTTTTCGTTGTGACAGTGCTGTGCGCTCTGCGAAGGCGTGGCTGTTCTTTTTTAAGGCCTCATTATGGATTTCTACTCGTACATGAATTCTTACCAAAAAAAACAGCATAAAAAGAACAAGGACACCGAAGCGTTTTGCGCTGTTTGTCCTCTGCTAAGAGTGCACAAATCGCCAAAATCAAAGTCCCGCTCACGTACGCAGTTGATTTTTTTTTATTTCAAGATGCACTGATGCGGAAGATGTCAAGGACGTCTTACCATGGTACCCGCGTTATTTACCACAACGCTCCACTTCACATGGCATGTGATTCAGAGGCTACAGGAATGGATTGCTACTCTCAGGATATGGATAGTACGCCTTACATTGAGACCTGGTGCACAGTGACCACTACTTTTTCCCACAGATGCAGAAATACCTAGGATGCGAAAGAAAATTGCCGCTCATGACGAAAAGTAGACTCCTTACCTAATTTGAAGACAAATGTTCTGTTCGTTTTCGAAGAGCATACATATGTTAGTTAAGAGGCGAGAACAATATGGGTTCACGTCTGTGGAGTCATTGAAATGCGGCAGGTAGTTTCATTATATGCGAAGCACCTTATGCCAGGGGCATGTGATCCTTGTCCTGTGGCGTCTATTTCCTCTCTATTGCGCATGCGTGTCTCCTCACCCTTTCTCTTCTACGCTCCCCCTTCTGTTGCCTCGCAGCGCCGACGCTGGCAGCGTCTACTTGCGAGTTGCTTGGGGGAAAATCTGACTGCTAGCGCTGCACAATCGTTCACTGGCCAACCCGTATATATGGCATTAGATTTTGACCTCGACGGCAGGGTCAGTGGGAAATTTCTTCTGTGCGTTGTTCAACAATGAAACAATCACAGCGTGTGCGTTACCTTAAAGGGGTATGTGGGCCTCAGTGTTCAATCGGAGTCTTCTGCCTAAATTTCCCACTAGCAGCGATATACAAGTTCCAGAAAGAAACACCAACCAATTACTGCGCGCTTTGCGCCTCCCCAGGATTCGCTCCTGCTCAAAGCCATGATGAGCGCAAGCATCAACACCACCGTCACTGTAAGCGTAAGCGCCCGCTTCTTCGCATCCACATATGGTTCGCTTGAACGGGAGATGACTGGAATTTTTTATTGCCATTAAAATCATTAATCTGCAAGCTCTAAGAAATATCGTTCATCTTTCTACAAGTCGCATTCAGAGTGATCTGCTGTAATTGCAGAAAGAAAACTGTGCTTATTAGGCCAGCAGGTCAGCGAACGCAATCAGATACAGGAGATCTGCAGGCTTGTGCATGATAGTTTCGAGACCTTTACATGTTGTGAGATGGGAGTGGGCTTCTCACTAGGCAACAGCTTGCAACACATCATGACGATGTGACAGTGGTGGTGAATCAAATTCAGATGACGCTGCGCTGAGACACGCCAGTTTCTGTTTTAACCGTGAAAGATTACTTCCTTTAGTGGTTGCGTGAAGCTGTGTCTTCTAAAAATGTTTTATTGGGCTTCGTAGTTATCTGCGTGTACCTCAATCAAGTTTTCGGTATGACAAGCCGAAACCAATCAACAAAAAGCGAGGCAGTTTTATCAGTGTAAAGCATGCATAAAACTGCAGGCTACTCTATATAGATTTCTTTAATTTACAGAGTCGAAGATTTTATAAGTATATAGCCGCAGTTTCAGCGCATGTACTTCTCAATAGTTCATGAACTTGGTACAATTACGAATACACTCATAAAAGATGTTTTTAGAAAATAATTTTGTAATGCCAAGGATCCACCTTGCTGCGCGCACATAATTTTTTGCGGCGAGGCCGAATAGCATACCGATTGTTGGCAGCAGCAATCTGCATGCAGATTGCATCGCACAGCTTCCCCGCCAGCAAAACTGCCATCACGTGCTGCTCTATGCATCACGTATTGGGTGAAACTCATCCATCACTTACCGTCAATGGGTGTCTGCCATTGAAAGGTCATGCAACACTTTTCAAGTAACCACGCAATGTATTCTCTAAGAGGGCTTATTGCCTCCTGAATTCACTGCCGAAAAAATTTTGAGAACCCGCCCAGTACGAGCGGAGTTCGTCGCATGCTGCAAGATTTGTTTCACACTGCAATTGTATTCTCTGTTCTCTCATTCTGACGAATTCACTGAAAGCTAAGCAGGAAAGGCTGAAATGGGCAAAGAAAAGACGTCACGCACGCCTCACGATCTCGAGCACTTTTTCTTTTTTTCTTTAAATACGTGGCTTTTTCAGTTTATCCCGCGTGCCAAAAAACCCCAAACCTTACCCCACTACCCAACCCTTCGCGGGAGGACTGGGAGGCAGCCCTGCTCGGCTGCTCTCACCTGACGGCCCAATGGTCCCTGGTCGAGCGTGCCCGGGCCGCGGCCAACGCCAATGGGCTCCCGTAAGAGGGAGCTCACCTAGTGTTTGTACGGGGCGGCCCTTTAAGTGCCGTTCCCACCCTCCCTGTAAATAACATCTGTAAATAAATGTTTTTTCAGCAGCAGCAGGCGTAGACAATTCACGGCCCCCCACGGCGATCCCTATAATGACTGAGCGCGCTATGTTGAAATCAGCCAACGGCTCATAGAAGGATTCTTACGAGTAATTTGAGCTTCTACCATCAATTTTAGAAAGAAGAGAAAGATGTTTATCTGACTTAGAAATTTTGTCACAAAGTCTAGGGCGCTATGATACTGCGTCATATTTTTGGGTCACGTGTTCTAGGGACCCTCTACCAGCGATCGGCCGCGTTTTACAAAAGTGCTCAAAAAATGTTGCAGGGCCTTTTTAAACTACGAGCACAATGGCGGCGCGGCAACTCGTAAGGCGTCGCTACTTTCTTTCTCCCGAAGATCGTCAGGGTTTCTCTACCACTAACCGAATCTCTCCCTGACCTATTTTGATCCCTGCCGCGCAAGCACACTGAAATTCGGCGCATGCTTTACATCCCCGCTCGGGCGTCGTCATAGCAAACAGATATTGTTTTCCTTTCGCGCGCAACCTATCTTTGTCGGAGACAAGCCGTACCTGCCAGACATCAAGGCCTGAAAACTGCCACCATAACAGAAAAATTGTCTGCCGTGGCTGCGC